TACTCACCCTTTCTTTGTTTGTGTCTATTAACTGTGTTATGAATGCAAAATGAGTGCTGGGAGTATTCCTATTCCTGAGCAGAACATGACTTTTAGTATGGGGTCAGGAACGTGGAGCCATAATAATGCTAATTAAACTATTATCTTTACGGGTTGTGTGATACTAACTATTACTACCATTAACAACCCACATATTGCTCCCATAATTATGCAGAGTCCTGTTAGAGTTGAGATTCCCTACCCCATGTATTGTGCAGCAGCTTACCTGGGCATTCATGCTGATCCTCCTCCAGATGGATTAGATGACTAGAAGAGAGATCTGCTCGTAAAAAAAAAAATAGTCAACAATGGGGTATATTTAAATTATGAGTGCTTAGGATCTTTTCGTCTGACCTTCATTTTTTTTTAGTTTGTAAAATACTTGAATAACCTAGGAAAGGTAGGAGGTTTGTATTAAATTATCTACTGTTGAACAACAGCTCTATATATATGTAGATGTGCATTATGTGTGGGATATATGCCTTCATCTATGTTTATTGAACATGTTAAATTTATTAGAGTCTCTAAGTTGAACATAGTAACAGAATAATTGGTATGAAACTGTTAATAATAACGGGGACGTCTCAATTTAGTGGTATGTAACGTCACCTTGACATCATGCTGACATCACATACGCGTATAATGTCACGACCCCTTTTATAAGGAACCGAGAACATTGTTTCTACATCACAAACTTATTCAAAATAAATAAAGTATAGAGAATATAAGTATGAAATTCTCTTCTCATTCAAAATAAAACAGAGTTTCTTACAACAAATATCCAATAAAACAACACAATATTATATTTAGTTCATAATATTCAAAATACCTAAAATTATACTACGTAGCTCCCTCTATATGAGGTCTCAAAATATAAGGGAAAAAGGACTTTGATGCAATATTACTTGACCCCAGCTTCTAACATTTCTTCACTGGCCCCTCAGCCTGTGAAGTAGATGCAACACCTGTTACATCTGCTCACGTACCACCGTACGATCATCGCAGTACACATGCACATAACGACATAGAAAGAAATGCAAGGGTGAGCTTACCAAACTTAAAATAAAATCATATATATAGAGCAAAATATTTCTCACAGCAATAATCCCATGCATTTCCAGCCCATCTAATGCACAGCATGAAAACGGTTTCCAACTGGTTTCACAGTCTAAGTAATCCAGAAGGAACCGAGTCGGTCTGGGAGCGACTCATTCCGGTATCTGGATCCAGACAGCACAGCACAGCAGCTTAGCATGAACTTACCGTTACATGTCTACCCACCTAAACATGTAACTTGGCTCTATAATGATGTAAAATATATATCTCAACATGATGCACACCGCCAAAGTTATTTTAACAGCTCAACTAAAGCAAGTTTATAATAGATCAGCCAAAATCTCAGCATTTTAAATCAATTAACAGCAGTTACAGCTTAGAAAATATCTTTTATTCAGTAGATCTAACAAAATCATATCAAAATATCTTGAAATAGCATATTAAACCGTTCAAAACGTAGTTCATAGGTTAAAGTAAACTCCCCTTACCTCAGAAAGATAATTCACACTAGATCTACCGAATATTACTTGTTTTAATGCAAGATTCACCGAAGATTCGGCTTTAGAACGAAGTTTCTCTTCAAATCCTTCAGAATAGACGTAGAATCTCAGATCTGACAAGAAATCTAAGTTTAGGAAGGTTTAGTATGAGAGAAATGGTGGTATTTGGCCTTAGAACCTTGGATAGGGGTGAAGAAATGAAAATTTCATGTGAAGCCCCCTTTTTATAGAAAATTTTCAAAATTTATTGTTCACCGCCGGAAACACTATTCACCGCCTTACTGTTCACGCCGGAAACACTATCTAGGGCACTATTCACGCCGGAAAATACTGTGCACGTGTACTGTACGCGTATGTGACGTCAGCCATGACATCACTGATGATGTCAGCAGTCACTGTACATACGCGGTTTGCACTGTTCATAGGCGATTTTACTGTTCATCTGACACTGTTCATACAGTACTGTTCACTTTTTTTTTTTTAATAAATAATTTCAAACTCCATCTAAATCTATTCCAATACCAAATAATCTTTCAATTAACATTGAACAAGTATAAAATATTATAGATTACTCAATGATAAATCTCTAGCCTGACGTAATATGTGTGCACATTGTTTCTGGCATGAATAGTGACTATGAATAGTATTTTCGGCATGAATAGTGACTATGTATTTCCGGCGGTGAACAGTAAATTTTAAAAAAATTTCTATAAAAAGGGGGGCTGCACACGAAATTTTCATTTCTTCACTCCTATCCAAGGTTCTCAAAGGTTTCAAGGCTATATCTCACCATTTTCTCTCATACTAAACCCTCATAAACTTAGATTTCCTTTCAGATCTGTGATTCTACGTCCGTTCTAAAGGATTTCAAGTAAGTTTCTTTAAATTTGAAGTTAGATTTACTGTTTGTTTCTCCTCTTCTTCTTTTTCTTATAGATGTTCATGATGTTCTTAGGAAAAACTCTGTTCTAGAGTTAAATCTTCGGTTAAATCTTTGTAAAAGCTCTATTTTGAGGCAAAAGGCTCTACTTTATCATTTTCCTATGTGAACTACTTATTTTTTGGTAGATCTGGTTGTATTCTAGTAGATCTAGGTGTATTCTTATAGATCTAGGTATATTTGAGGTTGTATATGAAATACTTGTTGATTTGATGAGATTTTAATCTATAAAACATGATTTTAATCGGTGAAATATGCTTATATTTGATATAGTTAATGATGTTGTGTTGTTTCCATGAAAATAAACGGTGAAAAATACTTTTAATCGGTGGAATGTGTGTTATTTGATCCTGTTGTGATTATTATGATGAGTTTGATGAAAATAAAAGATGAGAACAAGATATACGTGTGATTTGCTATGATTACTGAGAATATAATGAGATTTATTGTAATAATATTGAGATATGTTATTGAAATAATGAAAGAAAGTGTAAATATGCCATGGTTGATATGAATATGATGAGAAATATATGTGAAAAATATGGTATGGCATACGTAATTGTGATTGTGATTGAAAAGAAATTGAAAATAGTTGAGCTGTAAATAGTTACAATGATACACTAGGGTTGTGGAAGATGGAGGCGATGTGAAATTTCTTGAAGAAAAGATGGGTGGCGGTGACATCAACAGTGAGTGTGGATGCATTATACGGCCACACACACTTTTCCTGACTTTGCCTCTGACCATTACCTTTGCTAAGGGAGTCGTGATTGCACACGTTGTATCCGTGATGTGAGGCTCAACCGATAACTATTTACAGGATTGAAACTGTGTAAGACTCGAGGTTAGGACATTGGTGAAACTGTGATCACAGTACCACAGTGAGCGTGGCTAGACGTGCAATGAGCGCACATGTGTGAAATTAAATGTGCAGTGAGTGTACATGTGATGGAATTTGTGATATAAATTTTTATGATGAAGTTGTTATATTATATATATACACGTTGCCACATGTGAGAAACTGTGATAGGATGTAGAAATTTATGATAAAATGATAAGTGTTCTATCATAAGAAAATATGTGTTATGTGCCAAGGTGATTCTATGTGATGTATGTGTGGTAGGGTAGAGACTCACCCTTACATAGGGAACAAGGACGATCAACACTCAACTTTGTGAGCTGTAATGGATAGAGAACTGCTATAGAACTTAGCGGTGTTTGAAATATGTATTATTGAAAGTTCTATAGCATTCATTTTGAGTAATAATTTGTAATAATATTTATTACTTGAATCTTTAGCAAAAACACTAGAAATATTGTTTATGAAAGCCTTTTATAATGATACTTTGTATTTTTAAATTGAGTTGTTTTTAAATTATTTCGCATTTGAAAATATTTTCAAGATTCTTTCATTCTTTTCCCTTATTATTTTTGAAATTTTTGTATAAATAGAATATAAAAATAAGGTGTTACAACCCTCGCCTGGGCAAAACAACGAGAAAGCAAAACTACTTATTTTTCTGCTCTTTACGCTTGAGCTAGATACAATCTTACCTGAGTGAGGTCTACCTCGCCTGAGCGAGATTAAGTCTAGAGAGCATCCTATTTTTCCTACGACTTCTCGCCTAGGTGAGTTTTATCTCGTATAGACGAGCTGCTTCTCGCCTATGCGAGATTCCTTCTTGCCTATGCGAGATTCCTTCTCGCTTGGGCGAGAGGATAGTTAGATCAACCTTGCATTTTTTCGCTTGAGCGAGAAAGCTCCAGAGTGTCATTTTAAAAAAAAAGTTTTATCTCGCTTAAGCAAGACCTATTTCACTTGAGCGAGAAATTTTGCACCAAAAATTCTTATTTTTTTCATATAAGAGTAATAAAATTAAGGGTGTTACAATTTTTATTTTTATTTTTTTGTTCTTACTATTTAAAATTAATAGATAAAAATTAAAAATTAACTTAAAAAAATATAATAATTTGATTAATGTCATAAAAAATATGGTAATATGATTAAGTGTTATACAAAGTGGCCAATCGAAATATGCATCATGAATTAAAGAGTCTATCGATGTCAACTAATCACATGTATCTTTCATTTATATAAGATTTTATAATTTTTAAATATTTATATATTTATAAATAACGTAATTATTTAATTTATTTATAAATTAATCTAAGTTTATGATTTTATAATAAAGTTAAAAATTTAATTTTTTTAAAAATTGTTTTATTAGAATTAACTATTTTAATTTAAAATAAAAATGTACTTACTTTGTTTAGTAATATGTCATAAAAGGATGGAATAAAATGTGAAAAATAATCTATTGATATAATAAAATAATAAATTGGATAAGTTAAAATGTTATATACATTTTTTCAATTCGATTATTTTATACAATAAAATTACTTTTAAAAAATAAAATGAATTCGTAAAATATATTTATCATATATTTTAATTAAACAAATATCATAAATAAAATAGAATAAAACTATCTTATATTATTGTTTTATGTTCTCCAACGACGACGTGGTGTAACGTGAACCTTGTCGTATCACGGGCTTCGTTGCTACCCCTTCATTCCATCCGTTTCCTGCCCACTCCTTCCAAAAATGTCGAAGCTGCCTCTACCTACTTCTCAGTCTCACCTCACCACCTCCATTCACCACTTCCGCAACACATTATGCTTTGCTTCTTCCCTTCAATTTCAATGCCCATTTTCCCTTTCGTATCTCTCTCATCCCCACCCTCTCACTCTCGCTCCCTTCCGTTCCCACATGCGTAGACGAAGACACCTTTCCCTTCAAGCCTTCGATTCTTCTTCCGAAACCAAAAGCGATGAAGAAGAAAAGAATAATGAAGGTGGCGTTAATAATCAGAGTGTTAGAATGACTGATGAGGAGTATCCCAATGGAGAGTTTGAATTCGAACCAATTACCGGATGGAGAAGCTTCCTCGTGAAGCTTAAGATGCTCGTTGCGTTCCCTTGGGAGCGGGTTCGCAAGGGCAGCGTCCTCACAATGAAGCTTCGTGGCCAGGTTTGCTCTTTTTTTATTTTTTACTCAATCGGATAACTATGAAAGAGGAATATTAATAATACACGTCTTATTACATTTTTCTGAAATATTCTTTATAAGAAATTACCATTATAATTAGTTTTGTAATTTTTTTATAAATTTTAATAAATTATAAATTGTGTGTTATAGTGAATGTATTATTATTTTGTATTTTCAAACGCTTTTTTTTTAATTTGTTTTATACATGTTTGTATAAAGAGGATAACAATAAAATAAAATAAAATAAAAATATGGTAAAGGTTTTATAACTACTTTTGAAAAAAAAATATTTCTTAGGCTAAATAAGTAACTGTAACCAGCTTTGATTATTTTGTTTTATGAATAGCATATATATTTGATATGTTTGAGTTCAAAATATTACGTTGTTTCACATGTTCAGATATCGGATCAATTGAAGAGTAGGTTTTCTCCAGGACTTTCTCTACCTCAAATTTGTGAGAATTTTTTGAAAGCAGCGTATGATCCTCGTATTTCTGGGATCTATCTCCATATTGATGGTTTAAATTGTGGATGGGCTAAAGTAGAAGAAATTCGAAGGCACATATTCGATTTCAAAAAATCAGGTAAAACTCTGGACTTGTGTTACAGCTTATAAATGGAAGAAAGAGAAATGAGGAGACATGCGATATGAAAACAATTTTTCATGTTGTATGTTGTTTTGTAGAAACTTATATTTGGGTCCAATGAACTGGTGAAGAGTTTATCAAGAAATTTAGTACACTTATATAACCAAGTAACAAGTAAATGTACTTACTGATGTCTTCTATGGTTACGCACCTTCAAAATGCCAAATTATAAGTGATTTTTGGACACTCTGCAAACTTGTATTTTGAAGTAAATATGGTGATAATGATATTTGAATGTCTCCCTGGCCTTTTTTATTTCATTCTTATATTGGCCTATACTAAAGGTCTTTCGTACTTATGAATGACATGCTCATAGTTGGTTATGGCTGTAGGAAAGTTTGTTGTAGCTTATGTCCCTTCATGTCAAGAAAAAGAGTATTACCTTGCATGTGCATGTGAGGAGATATACGCCCCTCCAAGTGCTTACTTTTCTTTGTTTGGATTGACTGTTCAAGCTTCGTTCCTTAGAGGTAAGATGACTTCCCTTGCATTTTTACAAATTGGACTCAGTCTTGAATTTTTTCTTTTCTGACAGCATCTTTTTATTTTTAAAATATAGGTCATTAAAGTGTAAAACTTCAATTTGTTCCTCCAAACATCATTGCATCTTTTTATTCAAATGCTTAATATCTCAAATCATTTTTTGGTTCTGGATAAGTGTTCTATGCTCTTATGCACATGTTGCGGATGTGTATCAGCAATTTATTGATAAATTATTTAAAAAATTTAAATCCTACGATGGCTTTAAATAAACCTATAACATTATTTTACATAATTTATTAATTCTTTTCAGGTATTTTAGATAACATAGGAATTGAACCACAGGTGGAAAGGATTGGCAAATACAAAAGTGCAGGAGATCAACTAGCTCGAAGAACCATGTCTGAAGAAAATTGTGAGATGCTGACTGCATTGCTTGACAATATCTATGAAAATTGGCTAGACAAGGTCTCTTATGCCAAAGGTACATTTCCATTTGTTGTTTTAGTGGAATATTGACTTATTAAGTTAACGTTTGGACTTCTGCTAATTTAATATAGGAAAGAGAAAAGAAGATATTGTGAACTTCATAAATGAAGGTGTTTACCAAGTAGACAAGCTTAAAGAAGAGGGACTCATATCAAATATAGTCTATGATGATGAGGTACATAATTATTTCCCAATGTCTTATATAAACTGCCATTTTGGTCTTTGATCATGTATCTTCCTAGGCATAGCTGTGAAACTAAACCTCAGGCTAATGGTTGTGGTTAGTTAAAGTTTACCCTTGCTGAAATGGCAGACTCTAGGGATTTCAAAGACTAAAATTACTGGCAAAGTTTGCCTGGGGTCACAATTGAATCCCAATGCAACCAACCACTGTCAAAGACTTTTTGTATATGTAGTTTGTCATCTTTACTATTATAATCAAGTTGAGAGTGTAAGGTGGATCACATCTAGTAACTAGTGGTTGATACTGGATACTTTTGAATGGAAAATCCTGATAGTGTTTGTCCTGCTCATTAAGTGTTTGTTGGTTTTGGTGCTTCTTCTTATAACTAAATTGTGGATCCAACATTCCTACTGTCTTCACAGTCGGGTGTATGTATGTATATCGATAATTAACAATGGTTAATGAATATTTTGGAAGGATGTGACTGCATCTAATCAAAGATGTTTAAAAGGATCAAAACATTAAATGTTTTGCAGGTTATTGCCATGCTGAAGGAGAGACTTGGAGTGAAATCAAATAAAGATCTGCCTATGGTGGATTACAGGTGGCAATTTCTAGAGGCTTTAAGAATGTACTATGGTCTATGCTACTTATTTGGAGTAGATAAATGTTAGCTAAAGAAATATTTGACTAAGGAATTCTCAATTCATAGTCTCACAAATTCAACTCAAATTTCCCTGCTAAGAGAATCTCTCAAATCAATGACTAGTTTTTCATTTGTTTTGAATCTTGGATTTCCCCTCTCTATGTAACACATAATTCTCAACATATTATTCTAAATCTCTCTGGTACCAAATAATGTAACACTCCGCAATTCACACTTTATTTTATATGATAATGCCTTGAATTTTTATTAATCATTGTGGCATTCCAAGTTTATTAAAAATCTTTTCCTTAAAGTTTCTTCAATGTACAAATATTATTATTTTCAACATGTTGATTACTTATAGAATTATATATTACATGTGGTCCTATTAAATCAACAAAAACTTACATGTGAAAAGGAAAAGAAACTTCAACCAGTAGTATACATCATGCATAGTTTTTCAAAACAAAAGCCAAGGTATTACTGATACTACATTCTTAGCTTGATAAGACACATAATTTACGTAGTAATTTCATGTTTTTCTCTTCCTAATCATAATGGAAACTATTTTCCATGACTCCATTCTCAGTAAGCGGTAATGTTACTCATTTCATTATGGAACCATGTTCCATTCTCGTCCATATGCATTATTATGCTAAACATAGTCATGGGTAAGTTCTTCATTTTCTTTACAAGTTTATGTGATCATGAATCAAAAGAAATCAAAGAGGTGGAAAAGGCAAATGTACCAATAATCATGAAATATTGCAGAACAAAAGTACTTATCTTTCTCATCCCAATATTAATTCATCAAAGGTTCTGTTGAGAGAGAAAATATTGAATCCGTGTCTTTTAGAATGCAGCGGAGTTATTCAAATTTATAAGGAAGAATACATAATTACAAAATATATAGTTACTGTATTTACAATATTCTAATAGATTCTAACACTTCCCCTCAAGGTAGAGCATATAGGTCATGCACTAAGCTTGTTATATATTAAGTTAATCTGAGGACCCCTTAGTGACTTAGTAAATATGTCTGCTAGTTGATCATGGGAATTGACAAAACTAGTAGATATTTCCTCGGACATGACTTTCTCTCTGACAAAGTGGCAATCAATTTCAATGTGCTTTGTTCTTTCATGGAATACTGGATTTGAGGCTTGATTACCACATATAAGTGACATATGTGTGACCTCTCCAAACTTTAGTTCTTGAAGTAACTATTTGAGCCATATAAGCTTCTAACTCGCTATAGCCATAGCTCGATACTCAGCTTCCACATTGGACCGGACCACAACATTTTGCTTCTTACTTTTCCAAGAGATAAGGTTATCTTTGACAAATATATAGAATCTAGAGGTGGACCTTCTATCTATGGGAGATCTTGCCCAATCTGCATCGTAATACCCCACAACTCGAGTGTGTCCTTTGTCTTTGTACAAAAGACCCTTTCCTAGAGCTTCTTTGATGTATCGAACAATGCAAGTCACTGCATTCCAATGTTCCTTACATGGAGAGTTGAGGAATTGACTTACTACGCTCACTGCGAATGAGATATTTGGACGGGTAATAGTGAGGTAGTTTAGCTTTCCTACTAATCGTCTGTACCTTCCAGGATCTAGAAGAAGCTCCCCCTAATTTGGCAGGAGCTTGACATTGGGATCCATATGAGTGTCAACTGGCTTGGAAGTTAACATTCCTGTTTCTTCTAAAATATCCATTGCATACTTCCTTTGGGAAATGATGATTCCATTTTTGGACTGTGTTACTTTTATTTCCATAAAATATTTGAGTTTGCTAAGATCCTTTGTCTGAAAATGTTTGAAGAGATGCTGCTTTACCTGTGCAATGCCACGATGATCACTATCCGTGATGACAATGTCATCAACATAAACAACTAGGTAGATGCAACCGGTAGGTGAGTGACGATAGAAGACAAAATGGTTAGCCTTACTCCGAGTCATGCCAACCTGTTGAATCACAGTACTGAATCTGCTGAACCATGCTTTGGGTGACTGCATGAGGCCATATAAAGATTTCCGCAGTCAACATACAAGACTAGAAGACTCCTCCTGAGCAACAAAGCAAGGAGGTTGCTCCATGTAGACTTCCTCGAGCAGATCACCATGTAAGAAAGCATTCTTGATATCCAACTAATAGAGAGGCCAATGATGTATGGCAGCAATGGATAGGAATAGTTGCACAAAGGGCAATTTGGCCATAGGAGAGAAAGTGTCGCTATAGTCCAATCCAAAGATTTGAGTATAGCCTTTGGCGATGAGACGGGCTTTAAGCCAGTCAACCTTGCTGTCTGGACCAACCTTGACCGTATACACCCATCGACAACCAACAACTGACTTCCCTAGTGGTAGAGGAACGAGGTCCCAAGTGCTACTGTTCTGTAATGTACACATCTCATCTAGCATAACTTGTTGCTATCCTGGATGGACAAATGCATCGCCTGCACTCTTAGGAATAGAAACAGAGGACAAAGAAGAAAGGCAAGAATAATAGGAAGGAGAAACACAAATGATAACTTAAAGAAATATAGTGAGGAGAAGGATTACGAGTAGAACGTATACCTTTTCGAAGAGCAATGGGAATGTCAGGTTCAGAGGACGGGACCGAAAAATGAGGCAAAAGAGGTGGCTCTAGAGGTGAGTACGACGCTAATATACCTGCAAAGGTGGAGGAGATGGGTGTGGAGGGGATAAAGACTCCTTTGGAGGACAGAAAAGGATTGAAACAGGGGCAACCATGGATAGGGAATACTCGGATGTAGATGTTCTAAGCTCAGAATGGAATGGACTCAGAAAATAACATCAGCAGAGATGAAATACCTGTGAAGAGTAGGAGAATAACACTTGTATCCTTTTTTAGAGCGTGGGTATCTGAGGAAAACACACTTATGAGACCGAGGAGAGTCAATTGGAGTAGGGAGCAAAGACTCAGAAGAGGTTTTGGGGGGGACACAAAGGAGGGTCGCCTAGGTGCTGTTCATAGTAGCTTCTGTGAGGCTCCCTAGGATCTGACCATGAACATGAGAATATTCTGGGAGCAGACTGTATAGAGCCAAGGACGTGAAAATCTTCTTGCGATTGTCAAGTTTCGCATTTGGAGTGGCAGCGGGAGGAAGCAATTCATTGAACTCACAAAGAAGGCTAGATACTGAGCCAAGATAGTTCGACATAGAATCCTTAATCTGATGAACACTAAGAATAGTCATGAGGTCTTCACAAACTTGGTAGAGTCGCCGAGAATTGTTGGGTCTGTGTCCAAACAACTTTGCAGGTTTTGTGGGTGCGAAAGACATTACGAAGAAATGGGTGAATGGTGGCTTGGATGATACAGCATAGCTGAGCGTCAACTTTTTTCTATAGAGGACGGTCGACCTCCTGAACATCGTCTGCTGTTTGGGTGAGATGTGTCTCATAACCCTGTCCAACAAGCCAAAGTTCAATGTGAGAAGTCCAGGAGTAGTGTGTACCATCCAATTGCTCAAAAGAGAGGTGCAGTGACATGGTTGGTAAAAATCTGAGTGTCAGCTTTTGGAGTGCTGGAGGTAGCCATTGGTCAGCGAGAAGAGAGAGAAAATGCTCAAACAACAGCAAAAAAGGCAAAACAAGGCCGAATAGATGTCTAAACACCTAACCGAGACCAAATATACGTAGAGGAGAGAGGGGTGAGCAAACCCCAGTCGACGGTGTTAGGAAAGGACGCCGAACGCGCCATCACGCGTGGAGAGAAAAGGTGGTAAGTGAGAAAACCGATAGAGGAGAAGGCGGCGAATGAGGACTCAGTGAAGGCGTGGTCAGCGGGGTTCGGCAGCACCAGAACAGTGGTGGACGGTGGTTGCGGCGCCAGAAAAAAAATGGCACCAATGACCAGTGGGTCCACTGGGAAAAAAAATGGATTAGGGTTTCCTCTCTAGGCTCTAGATACCATGTTGAGAGAGAAAATATTGAATCCATGTGTTTTAGGGCACAATGGAGTTATTTAAATTTATAAGGAAGAGTACATAATTACAAAATATACAGTTATTGTATTTATAAGATTCTAATAGATTCTAACAGGTTCAAATTCTCATCCTTGTGTGGAAACCTCAATCACAACATTCACTTAATTTCATTGCATTCTCATGATAAGAGTTTCAAATAAGTGTCTTTCATGAATTATGCTCAAAATCATATTGTCATGGCTAGGTCTAAATGCCTCAAACATTCATTATAAATGTGTCTCAACTCACCATAACCATGCTTCTACTTTTGTGGAGTGATTCTCCTAATTTTCTTATCAATTTGATATTAAAGCTTTTCACCATGTCTCTCAAATACAAATGAGCTGCGAAAGTATTAACACCCAACATTGTAATTTTCACCCAAGATTAGTGAAAAAGCTAGTGCATAGCCAACCCTCATGGGCACTAGGGTCATTAAGCGTGGTATGATGTTGCGATGTAATTGCATGGAATGAAACTTGAATCCTACATTAGAAATATGGGATTTTAGTATGGGAAGGCAAGGTATGTCCTACCTACAATGACTAGCATGTTGAATCAAGCATGTTGCCTATAAATAAGAGGGAATATTAGCGAGGTATGTCATATGATTTGCGAAAAGAAATTAGGGCCTTTTGGCATTGGGAGGTGTAGACCCTAAAGTTTTGCACTGTGTGTGTATTATGTTCTGTTGTGATTTGTTGAGTACTTTCCCCATTTCATTTTGAAAAAGATACAAAGTTTCTATCACTGGTATTAGAGTTCTGATATTGGAGCTGTGGATATTGATTTCTTGAAGATGATTGCAATATTGCCTATTGGTGGCTTATCCCGGTTGAGCAGTATTTTGAACCCACTAGAATGCCAGAGGAAGAGAAGCTATCAAAGGCTCTAAGGTGATAATCTTAATTGGTGTCTAACTTGGAGATGGTGCAACAATATGCAGACTGGTCGACTTTGGTGAAAGCAGTGCTGAAGAGATTTCAACCTGAATATGATTCAGAATTATTTGCATCATCTGAGGATGAGAAACAAGAAACTTGGGTTCAAGAAAGTAGAAAAGAACCAGAAGCTTGGAGACCAAAAACAAATGTAGAAAAATATGCAATTGTCCAAGAAAATGAACAAAAGTCATGGAAACCAGAAATCATGGAACCAAAGACAGAGGAGGAAATTCGATCGGAACAAGTTCACATTTTGGGTCAAGAACCAAAAATGGAAGACCTAAATGGATTGGAGCAAGTAGTCGAGATTGAGAGACAATTGGGTGTTGTCAGGTCTGAAAATAAGCTTTGCTTCTTTGGAAGGAGACCATCTTTTGAGTTGTAGATGGAGAAACACATGCAGCATCATTTGGGTAATAAAGAAAGGATGACAATGAACCGTGATTTGCTTAGAAAACCTTGGGTTCTCAATACACTTGCAGAGGAAATGGTGCTCTATTTTAGGTAAAAAAATATTAAAGAAAACAAAGCATTGGAGGAAATTGATTCCAACAGTTGTTTGTGTTTGACCCAGGAGGGCTTGAGGCTAATTTGGGGCTGTAGTAATAGGGTTGGCTTAATCATAATGCTTCAATCAAACAGAACTCTGATACAACTTTCTTTTGCAGTTGCAATAGCTATTCACCTAGAGGACAAAGTGAGTGTTTAGGGGGGGGGGGGGGGGGGGAGTACTGTTAACTCCATTAATAGTTAGTTAAAATAAGTTTCTTGGTTACCCATTATTTAGTTACATTAGTTTAAATCACGCATGTTTGTCAAAAAAACAAGAGGGAAGACTAGAGAGGAATACCATGTGACTTCTGGGAGAAAATTAGGGCCTTGTGGCATTGGAAGGTGCAGACCCTCAAACTTCTGCACTGTGTGTATTATGTTCTGCAAATTATAAGGTTCTTTCCCCACTTCTTTCTAATAAAGATACCAAGTTCTTATAGAGTAGAGAACACAAACAATGCATAACTTTGAGGGTGTGCACCTCTGCCAAATGGCCCTAATTTCCTCTCACAAATGAATAGATTCTCTCTCTCTACCCCCCTCTTTTCTATAGAGGCAATATGCTGTGTTTCTTGTACAATCTCAGCCTGTCAAGTGCCGACTACTAATTCAGGGCTAACTACTATATTGTAACTAACTACTAATAGGTACTTAGCTAACACATTATAACTAACTACTAATGGGGGTTACCTTTTTGGCTTTCCCATGGTTCTATCTATTTTTAAAATAGAGTTTGGTACAAATAAAAAGTAGAAGTAACAAATATATTGAATAATTTTAGTGGGTATTATTTGGACAAACTTCTACAGTGCTTATTTGAGCTTATGAAAATAATTATGACCTGTAAGCTCTTTCTAGCTTAGTTTTTCCCAATCAAACTTGTTTATAAGTTCTAATAAGGTAACCTTTAATTTGCTTGATTGAGTAGTTTACCAAAATATGGCCATAATTTTAAATTTTGGGAACACAAATCTACAATTGGTTTATATAGAAGTTGTAGACAACTTCAAAAATATATAATATTCAACAAATTTTCATTTGAAATTGAATTTTGTTTCTTCTAATTTCTGTCCCTGTTTGTTTGGTATAGGATCTTTCTATGGCTTATGTTTGTTTGGAATTGTGGGAAAATGATAATTTTTTTATCTACAACTTCCTAAGTGAGATTTTTAAAGACAAGAAAATCAATTTTCCCCCCCCCCCCCCCCAATTAATCATTCCCAAACATGCATCTATGTAAATTACAGTTTTCATGTGACTTACCATTGCTTTCTTTTTCTTACCTGGCTTTTGTTGCTAACAGATGCTTCTTTTGATAAAGAAAATGTGTCAAATAATTCATATTAACAGTATCAAAAATTTTTATTGCATCAACTAAATACAGGAAATACTCTCGAGTTAGGAAATGGACAGTTGGAATATCAGGTGGTAAAGAACTAATAGCCGTTATCCGAGCATCCGGGAGCATTAGTCGTGTAGAGAATCAATTAAGTGCCTCTAGCTCAGGCATTGTTGCGGAGAAGTTCATTGAGAAGATTCGTGAGGTCAGAGGTAATCTTGATCTTATAAGTTGCCCTTTGAAATTTCAGTGTAAGAGGCTAAGAGCAATATTGAATTTGGCATGTATTCATGGGAATGTTGTCAGGCTATTTGCATTGATTACAGCAGCTGTAGTTAATGCACCATAGATATTTTCTTTTCAGTAGAGTAGTATTATTCAATGATTTGCCTATATTAAATTGGAAGGAAACCAAGAGATTACACTACTTTCGAATTTTTTACTTCCAAGGCCTTAGATGTAGAAGCCACGCTGCAAGAACTAAGACGTATCAGTTATGAGATCTCTTAATCTCAGACAGAAAGGCCAAGAGAGACCCATTAAACATATAACTTTCAGAATCCCACATTCATGTGTTCCAAAATATAGATTACATGGGTTAGTTCTGTTTAATAACTTAAGTATGCAAGTATGCAACAGCAATGCACCACTTATCTATTCACTTTTAGGAGCATAAGCATAATCATGGTTTTCAGTGTTCAACCATGATCCTGTTTGCTAAAAATGACACCTTTGTCTAGTTGTTATTCATTAGTATACTTCACTCATTATATTTGTGCTATAGTCACTATGAGTGTTCTTTTTCTCCTCAGAGTCAAAAAAATTTAAGGCTGCTATCATCAGGATTGACAGTCCCGGAGGTGATGCTCTTGCTTCAGATTTGTAAGTTTAAGTTCTGGTATTATTTTCCCTCTGTTAATTACATGTTCAAAACTTCTCTTTTAATAAGTGATTTAACAATAAATTGTTGATTTTCCTTGAATTTGTTTGAAATTATTGGTTGGATGGGGCTAGATCTGATCTGTACTATTGCATTTTTTGCAAGTATCTATACAACATTATTGATTTATCGTTAATTGAAGCATTGTTTGAGATGATGCTTTTAGATTTGAGAGTAGTTAACTGGATCCCTCCCTTAATTGTCTACTTTTATTTGAAATAATCTCTAGTTGTCATGGATGAAACTGTTATGCCAAGTATTTTGGTGATTTTGCATATTTAGTGACCATATTCTGGTGTCATGGTCTGCAGGATGTGGAGAGAAATCCGGCTTTTAGCTGCTTCAAAACCAGTCATTGCTTCAATGTCTGACGTGGCTGCAAGTGGAGGGTACTACATGGCAATGGGAGCTGAAGCTATTGTTGCAGAAAGTCTTACCTTAACTGGTTCAATTGGAGTGGTCACAGGTGAACCTGACTGTTTTACTGCTTCTGTTTCGGTAGGTGAATAGAGAAGAGCATGCTGATACAATTATTTAACTAAAGATATAAACATATTTATTGAAAACCTTTATCCACAAGGTTTTGAAACAGCTGTTCTCATCAGTATTTATGTTACAATCTAATTGTTAGTGCTCAATTCAAGAATTAGGAAACTCGTAATTCAGGTACCATGCAGAAATAATCTTTGTATTTGTTTTCCCATTTCTATATAAAGATGCTTATGATATCTAGATATTCCTTAGTCATTGTCATGGTCCTTTGGAAAGGAAGTATTAAAAAATATACATGGTACAGACTGTTGATATCTGTTTACTCTCCAAATAAAGGAAAATCTGTTGTTGTTAGGACCAGGGAAGGAGAACAAATGATTGACACTAACAAGGCATCTAAAGTATGGAAGTGTATGTTAGGAGGAAAGGAAGGAAGGAGCCAACGGATAGTTAGTTGTTAATACCCTTTAATAGAGTTAGGGTCTAAACTAGGGGGACTTTTGTTTGGGGTACTGTAAAATACTGTTAGGGAACATTGATCTTTGTTCAGGGAGCGGTTAGCTCTGGAGGATTCTTGAATCCTGATTCTTTTCAAAGGCATTAATAAAGATTGTCAATATTCTTTCTTTTGTTTTTCTGATTTAATGCTCTGACCCTAACAATTGGTCCGACTTGCCGGATTCATACTCCCATGCCAAGAAGAATGAATGAGAGGGTGGATGTTCTTGAATCTAGGATTCAAAACATCGAGGTATAGTAGAAAACATTGTCTTATTTAATAAAGGAGATGGATGTCATGCAGCAAGAATTGTTGAAAGAAATTCATAAGATGAGCGCTGCTAAGGAAACATTGATGCTGAGTTTTGCTCTTCTGCTAAGAAGGTGGAACTACCCGCCTTCAATGGTGTTGACTCTATGGGATGGATATGTAGAGCGGAGACTTATTTTGAAGTGCATGGTACAAATGAGGCTGTGAAAGTGAAGTTGGCCAAGATTTGTATGGAGGGGACCACAATTCATTGGTTCAATTTGTGGCGTGAGGAGGAGGAACCTACTTGGTATAATCTAAAACAGGCCTTGACCGTTAGGTTTGGGAGCGATTGTTTGGATAATCCTTTTGAGGAGTTGACGCTACTAAAGCAAGAAGGTTTTGTGGAAGAGTTTATTGAAGCGTTTGAAGCTCTAGCCTCTCAGGATCCAAGGCTGCCTGAGACTCAATATCTCAAGTATTTTGTTGGAGGGTTGAAAGACGAAATCAGATTGCGGGTACGTACTCTAGATTCACCAACTAGGTGACATGCAATGCATTTGGCGAGGGGTATTGAAGCTGAGATGGCCAAATACGGTGGGTCATCTTTTATGCGGAACAGGAAGCCACTCAAGTAACCAGGGGTTTAAGACTCCCACTATAGGTCAATATTCTTCAGTCTTTTGTTTTTCTGATTTTAACGCTCAAACCCTAACAGTTGTTCAGAGCTTTTTTAACATGACCTATGTAGAATGAAATTTTCCTTTAAATATGAAAATGCCAATACTATTTGTGCACAAAACTGACCTGCCGCATAATAAACAATGATGAAGTAAATTTACTTAATATACATTTTTTCACCATTTTCACTCCAATTTTTCATATGGTTGTATAGTGATAAGAACCTTGGATAAACCACACCACAAAAGCTAGCCGTTGTAGTTGTAGAGTCCAAAGCCATAGAAATCCCACATTAGAATCACATACTTGCAATGTGTGACTCAAATCCCATACCTGCAATTGGATCCTAACAGGTGACATCTGCATTGTAGTGTTTGCCATGAACTAGTCAAGGGGCTTGTACACCGCCAACTTGCATGGGCACCATTGCTGTGGAGTGTTGTGAGATTTTAGGATCCAATTGCAAGGTATGAGACTTGAGTCCTACAATGGAAGCATGGGATTCTAATGTGGAGATTATAAGGCCTTGGGTTCTCCAACTACAATGACTAACTTTTATGGTTTGTTTCTCCCAAAATTCTTTTCAATTGATACCGAAGCCTTCCACCATGTCTATGAGTTGCATTTGAGTGGCATGGTGGTGATGTTGGTGTTTCAATGTTTGCCCAGGACTAGTAAAAGGTGCTAGTGCACAGCCAGCCCACGTAGCCATAGGCGATGCAGAGTTTGATGAAATGTTAGGATCCAATTGCAAAGTATAAGACTTGAGTCCTATATTGGAAGTATGTGATTATAATGTGGTGTTTATAAAGCCTTGAGTTCTCCAAATGCAGTTGAAAGCAAATTACTCATGGTGCTTTGAAATAATGAACCAAGACATTATATCATGAACAATCAATGCTACTATATATATTGTTCTTCTAACTTTGTAATCTCTTAATTTATGATTTTTGTAGGAAAATTTAACCTGGGGAAACTATATGAGAAGATTGGCTTTAACAAAGAAATTATATCAAGGGGAAGATATGCTGAGCTCCTTGCAGCTGAACAACGTCCTTTTAGGTAAATATTATTTCTTCATTTCCTGTTGTAAAGATTCTAGTGGATGAGGAGAGAATATGCCACTTGATTGCTCAACAGTCAGGCACTCTTTGAGAAGGGAAGACAGTGACTTTTACTTTCTAACTAGTTGCCAGCCCTTGTTAAAAGAAAAAGTCACTATCATTTTGTGTGTGTGTTTCCTGAAATTATGCTGATTTACATTGATGGATCTTCTGTTGATGGATAGGGTTGCATGGTACTTTGACTACTTGCTTCTCTTCCTTACCATTAATTTTTTAGCATCAAAATAAGGATAGGTTACTCTGTACTACCACAGATCAGTGTGTCAATGATCACCATGCAAAATTACCAACCAAGGGTGCATTCAAACCCGGGCACTTGGGGAATGCAAAATCTTATCTATATAACCTATGAACCAGTTAGCCAACCCAATTTTGCTTCTTCCTTTGCATTCACTAAAACTTCCCCTTTTAGGTGGAGAGAGGACTTTAATTCTGTACGATTATTAGGAATGTTAGTCAAGAAGTTGACTGCGATGGAAGTAGATGAATTCTGGCATGGATTGCCAGGTACTGATTTTTGTAGCTAATAGGGTAGCAAGTGTAGGGTTCCATTTCCATGATCTCTGAACAGAAGGATCAATCCATCCTTCTTGAAAATTCCTTAACATTTGAAAGCAATTACAGCAATAACTAAGCCATATCTCACTAAATGAGGTGGACTACATGGATCTCATGCCTTTAGACTGGATCAAAAATCAAATTTTCAAGTATATTATTTATCATGAGATCCCTTTTGATAATTTCTTCCACGGTTCTCTTTTACCTCCTCAACTGTTTTTCACAAGGTTAAAGACCATATACTCTACGATCCTCACTGGTATTTCTAATAACCTTCTTTGCACACGTCCAAACCACCTTAATTGTAAGTAATCCTCTGTCATCATCTCCTGAATAGGCACTACTCCAATTTCTCATATAAAATCATTTCTTATTATGTCTTTTTTTCTTGTGACTATACATTCATCTTAACATTCTTGATTTTGCCACTACCATAAAGGAAAGAGAGTTCGTTGTATTGCGATTTCATTAAACTTTCCATTGAGCTTGATAGGTACGCTCACAAATAACTCAAATGTTTTTCTCCATTTTGTGTGTTTTTGAAAGCAATTATTTCAAACAAAATACACTGAACAATAAACAATCTCACTAACTTTTACCATCTAGGCGCTACAAGATTACCTAAGAAGGTCCAGGGTTTCTGCAACCATTTATGCTTTAATGCTTTTTGTGCCATTAAATCTTTTGTTGATGGCCTTAACAGGGTTGGTATTTTTCTATTGCATCAGACTATCGGTACATATTTTGATATCCAGGACAAAACAAATAGAACATTTTTTATTTTCTTCTTGTGGTGCAGACCAGATGAAGCAGAGCTATTTGCCAAATCTGCTCAGCATGCTTATAAACAATTTCGAGACAAGGCAGCTTTGTCTAGATCAATGACTGTATGTTATAAATTTAATTCACGTGCTTTTTCTCTTCCTTCTTGTAGATCTTTGTGACAGGCTCACAGCTACTATACTGTAACTAGGTAGAAGAGATGGAGGAGGTTGCGCAGGGGAGGGTTTGGACTGGTAAAGATGCAGCTTTGCATGGTCTAGTTGACACTATTGGTGGGCTCTCTCGAGCTATTGCCATAGCCAAATTGAAGGCCAACATACCGCAAGACAGACAGGTTGGTTTGACTCACCTTTATTTTGGCAGTATGAATGTTCGTGCCCAAGAAGTCTCAAAACATGGTCATTATGCTTGAACTATGCCAGGTTACACTTGTGGAGATCTCCAGACCCAGCCCTTCTTTAACCGATATTTTATTAGTAGGTAATACCTTCATTGGAGCTGACAGAGCATTGAAGGAACTGCTACAGGGCTTGACATTTTCTGATGGAGTTCAAGCCCGAATGGATGGGATCTTGTTTCAGATATTGGAAGGATATTCTTTCGCCAACCCCATTTTGTCAATAATAAAAGATTACCTCAGTTCCCTCTAGTTCATACATAATTCATTTCACTGCTTTTATCACGTTTTATTTCTTTAGCTTTCCCTATGTTGTTCCTTGTTGTGAGGTTGTCCGAAGGCAGGGTTAATAGATGACGAGGACCTTCTTTGTATCTTGGGTTACATGTTGGCCCTTCGTTCTCTCGCTCACAATCCTTGTACATGTATGATGTAAAGTTGGAAGGTTTCAAGCATAGTTACTTGATCCTCCAAAATGAAAGTGTCATAAAGTCATCTTCTAAAGATTTGGAATATCAATTTGTTTAAATCTTTTAATTGGACTCAAACTTCAAGAATACATGTTAAGTTAAAACAAATTTTTACTGGTCGATCTACTTTATTAATCATTTGACACCTCTTTAGTAATCTATAACAATTAATTTAATAAAGTTTTAGATTTTCTTCTCAATGGATTAATTTATTATTATTTTTTTATCACTAATAATTTTATACATTTTAGATCTTTAAAGGGCTAATTTAATGACATTAAATTTTTAGTTCTAAATGTTTAAAAATTGTTTAAGTATTTATATATATATATATATATATATATATATATATATATATATTTCATCCAGTTTAATCTGGATCTGACTAGGGTCATGCACCAGTATATGATGAGTGAGTCTATCAATGAAAATTTTTTGCATACATAAGGACTTGAATCAGAAATTTTACCAACTTTCTATTTTTTATCTAATTTAATTTTGAGTCACGTACCTAGATGTGGTGGATGAGTCTGTCATTTGAACTTGAGACTTTACTTAAGTGATACTAAGTCATTTGTTACTTGAACAAACTTTCATTAATTTTATTGGTTATAATTTGTTTCTAGATTTTTTTTTTCTTTTTATCTTTTAAGAATACAATAATTTTATATATTTTAATTCCGGTGACATGGCTAGGTGCTAAGATTAAGGATAGCATATCATTATTAAATGATAAATGATATGATTTTAATTAAGAATTAGTAATAAATATTTTTAAATATAAAATGTTAAATTATAAAATGATATTTTATTAAATAAGTTATTAAAATAAAAGTAAATGGACAACTACTAAATTTTAATAATTATTTTAGTAAATTTAATCAATTATAGTAATTTTTTTAATAAATTTTAATAATTATAGATTCAGTATAATTTAAGTTTATATTTGATTACCTTTAATATAGATATAAATATGTAGAACCTTAAATAATTTTTTAAAAGAATTTTACATAGGTATATAGATTTAGATGGATTATTTTTTAAGAAAATTTGTAAAAACAATTATAGTTGTTAAAATATATTTAAACTTCAATAACTAGTAAATATTTACATAAATCAACAAATAAAAGTATAAATTAAAAATTAAATTATTAGTCAATTTATCAATTTAAATGTGTATGTGTTTTAATTTATCATATGGACAATTTTTTTTTGTTACATTAATATTATTGTATAGTTAATTTTATATATATTTGTTAGTTTAAAATAATAAATTAATGAAGTAAATAAAATTAAATATTTTATAATTATTATTATTATCGTTATTAGTATTATTATTATTATTATTATTATTATGTTAAATTTCAAATTTTATATTAAATTTTATCACAATTTTTTTTGTTAAGATAAAAATTTAAAAACATGTTATTTTAATTTAAAAATAAATTCTATTAATTAAAATGAGCCAAAAATTAAATTCAAAAATATTCATTAACTTGTATTATATTAACAAGTTATTTTTTTATATATTCATAATTTTTGTAATACAAAGTATTTTATGTTCATATATTATTATTTTTTTAAATATTAACTTTGATTTAACTGACTTAACAAATTTCATCAATGTTTCTTTTTATTTTTAATTTTATGTGTTTATTTACTGAAAATAAGATTTCTCTACACAAAAAAAAAAAATATAATCTTACAAAAAAAATATTTAATATATTTAATAATATAAAAATTTTATAATATAAAAAATTTATAGTTAATACTCAAATAATATTTTAAAAAATATTTATGAAATTATGTAAAAAATTGTTACAATTATTTAATAATTATCAATAATATAAATAAAAATATAGAAATATATAAAGTAATTTGATAATAAATAATTATATTTTCATTAATATTATTTAATAATAAAAATCATTATAAATATTTAATATTATTAAAATTTAATTCTTCTTTATTTTTTTAAGCTTTAAAATTTTCGTTTCCAAATTCTTAAAAATTCTTAACATTATAATCACTAATTAAGAAAATTAAAGATATTACACTGAAAGCTAATTTTAATATATACAGTTATTTTTCAATTTTTAATTTTTTGATTTAGAACACTGAAATTTTCTCTCTCTTCTCTCTCAATTTTAGTTTTATCTTAGAGGTTTATAAACAAAAACTAATTGTAATATGTTCTATAACCTTTCCTTTCACCTATAATACTGAATAAAAACTAGATTGTTATATTTGTTACAAATTATGATAAATATTATGAAAATATAATAAATTCTTATCTTTGTACATAAGAATAAAAATAGGTCAGGTCAGGTCAGGTAAGACCAAGCTTCACTGTAAATAGAGTCATAGTATAATTATTAGGCCTAAGCCTAGTTTGTTACATGTTTAAGGTCTTATTTATTTAAGTGGCCTAATGTGGCTTCAAACTTGTTAACAAATCTTACTACAAAAAAATCTCTTAATATTAATGAAAATATAATTATTTTATTATCAAATTAGTTTAGATATTTTTCTAATTTTTATCTATATTATTGATAATTATTAATAATTGTAACAATGTTTATAAATAATTTTTAAAATATTATTTGAGTCGTATTATAAAATTTTTATATTATTATTTTTCTTAATTTATTTTTATAAAATTATTAAAGTATTAAAGATTTTTTTTAAGATCATATTTTATTTGTTTAAAAATATCTTATATTCAATAAATAAAGTTACAATGAACACATAAAATCGATAAAAAAAATAACACTCACAAAATTTATTGAATTAGCTAAAAAAAATATTACGTTTAAAATAAATAAATAAATATTGTCATTATAGAAATTATAAATAAATATTTTATATTATAAAATTCATGAATACAGAACAATAACATATGAGCATAATAAGAATTAATGAATATTTACAAATTTAACTTTTGGCTCATCTTAATTTAATAAAATTTATATTTAAATTAAAATAAATTTTATTTCTAATCTTTTATATGTGATAAAAAATTATATATATATATATATATATATATATATATATATAAAATGATAATAATAATAACAATTAAATTAAAAAAAATAAAATAATTACAAAATATTTAATTTTATTTACTTCATTAATTTGTTATTTTAAATTAACAAATATGCATAAAATTAACTATACTATAACATTAATATCATACAGAAAAATATTATTGATACAATAAATTAAAACATATACTTATATATTATATATAAATTGATAAATTAATGAATAATTTAATTTTTTATTTATGTAAATATTTGTAAATTATTAAATTTCAAATGTATATTAATAATTGTATATTTTTTTTTAAAAAATCTATCTATATCTATGTCAAATTTATTAAAAATAATTATTTAAAATTCTACGTATTTATATTTAGGTGTATGTTGTGGTATCTTAAAATTTTTTTTGGGTACTATATCCAAAAAATTTATACCAAAAAATGAAAAAGTGGTAGGTTATATATATATATATATTATTAAATTTTTTATTTTATTTTTTATCATTTTTAATTAATTTTTAGTTTCAAATAAAATGTTTCATATTTAAGTAATTTTTATTTATTATAAATAAAAATAATAATTATTAAATAATTTTATTATTTAAACACATGCAATCGTGTATAAATATTTTTAATTTTAAATAGAATATAATTTTTATTTATTATAAATAAAAAATTATAACATAATATATTAATATAATAATTAAATATTAATAATAATAGAATTAAGAATATAAAAATATATATTAATATAATAATATTATTATATTTTTTAAATTTTAGTTCGTTTAGTTTTGATCGTGTCTTCTTTCTGTTTAAAGATTTAAACATTTTCAGCTTGTTTAAATATAACAAATATAATAATTTATTATTGAATAAAATTATTATTATGATATGTATATATATATACACAAATACATACATGTTAACCAATTTTAAAAAAAAAATAAACCTTATTTATTTACGAAAGAAACCAGGTCAGACAAAGTTTAAAGCAGTACAGGCCATATGTCATCGTTCTATCCCTACTCGTACGGTCAACATAACTAACTAGTCATCCAAACTCAATTCAGGTAATGGCTTCAGGGACGCGACCACCTCTCTCATGTCATCAGCATCACAAACTCGCCATTCATCAGCTAAGCACTTCGACTTACAACAGCAACCCCTTCCCTTCATTGATCATTCCAAAATCATCCATTTCTCTCCCAACAACACACGAAAGGAAACATCCTTCATACGCCAAAACACGCGAGGCTCGCGAGCCTCATCTCCAACGCCTACACAATCTCTGCGACTCTGGGAACCTAAATGACGCCCTCAACTTGGTTAACTCTCAGTTCCAAAACGGCGTCGTTTCCTCTCCAGACAATACAAAAGACGCTATCGGGGTCTTACTACAAGCATGTGGGCTCCACAAAGACATCGAGGTTGGGCGAAAACTTCACGCTATGGTCTCTGCGTCCCTTTGGTTCCATAACGACGTCGTTCTCAACACCCGCATTATCTCCATGTACTCCATGTGTGGCTTCCCCTCCGAGTCTCGCTCTGTCTTCGACGCCGTCAAGCAAAAGAACCTGTTTCTTTACAACGCGCTTCTCAGCGGCTACGCCAGAAACGAGCTTTTCCGCGACGCGATTTCGCTGTTCCTTCAACTGCTTTCCACGACGGAGCTCTTGCCGGATAATTTCACGTTGCCCTGCGTGATCAAGGCGTGTTCGGGGCTCCTCGACGTGGAACTCGGGGAAACGATTCACGCGCTCGCCTTGAAGCTTCGTGTTTTCTCGGACTCGTTTGTGGGAAACGCGTTGATTGCCATGTATGGGAAATGCGGGTTTGTGGAGAGTGCTGTTAAGGTGTTCGAAACTATGCCGCAGAGAAACTTGGTCTCGTGGAACTCGTTGATGTATGTGTATTCGGAGAACGCGGTTTTTGGAGGGTGTTATGGTCTTTTTATGGGGATGTTGAATGAAGGAGAAGGTTTAGTACCTGATGCTGCTACAATTGTGACAGTGATTCCTGTGTGTGCTGCACAAGGGGAAGTGAAATTGGGAATGGCTCTTCATTGTTTAGCTTTGAAATTGGGCCTTAGTGAGGAAATGATGGTAAAGAATTCCATCGTGGATATGTATTTGAAATGCGGTTATTTACCTGAGGCGCGGGTTTTGTTTGATGGGAATAGTGAGAAGAATGTTGTTTCTTGGAATACTGTGATTGGGGGATACGCTAAGGAAGGAGATTGTCGTGGCGTGTTTGAGCTGCTGCGAGAGATGCAGAGGGAACAGAAGGTGAAGGTGAATGAGGTTACACTGTTAAATGTTCTTCCAACTTGTTTTGAAGAGCTTCACCTTCTGAGAATGAAGGAACTTCACAGTTATTCTCTTAGGCATGGATTTCAGAATGATGTGTTGCTGGCCAATGCTTTTGTTGCTGCGTATGCGAAGTGTGGTTCACTGGATTGTGCTGAGCGTGTTTTCCTTGGTATGGAGGCCAAAACAGTGAGCTCTTGGAACGCACTCATCAGTGCCCATGTGCAAAATGGTTTTCCCAGAAGGGCCTTGGACTTGTTCCTTGTGATGACAGATTCTGGCTTGGCTCCTGATTGGTTTACAATTGGTAGCCTTCTTTTGGCTTGTGCGCGCCTGAAATTCATATGCTGTGGCAAAGAGATTCATGGTTTTATGTTGCGTAATGGCTTAGAATTGGATGAATTTATGGGGATATCATTATTGTCATTTTATATTCAGTGTGACAAAATATTACCCGCGAAATTAATTTTTGATAAGATGGAAAACAAAAGTTTGGTGTGTTGGAATACAATGATTACTGGCTTTTCACAGAATGAACTTCCTCGTGAAACCCTTGAAACTTTTCGTCAAATGCTTTCCTGTGGAGTTCAGCCTCAAGATATTGCCATAATGGGTATTCTCGGGGCTTGTTCACAGGTGTCAGCATTGCGGCTGGGGAAAGAAGTTCACGCCTTTGCACTTAGAGGTCATCTCACTGCAGACACCTTTGTTACTTGTGCATTAATAGACATGTATGCTAAATGCGGATGCATGGAACAATCTCAAAACATTTTTGACAGGGTAAGTGAGCAAGATGAAGCAGTATGGAATGTTATAATTGCAGGATACGGGATTCATGGTTATGGACAGAAGGCTATTGAGCTGTTCGAACTAATGCAAAACAAAGGCTGCAAACCGGATTCTTTTACATTTATAGGAGTGCTCATGGCCTGTAACCATGCTGGCTTAGTAACAGAAGGGTTAAATTATCTTGATCAGATGCAGAGTTTGTATGGTGTAAAGCCAAGATTAGAGCATTATGCATGTGTGGTGGATATGCTTGGTCGTGCTGGACAACTGAATGAAGCTTTGAAGCTTGTAAATGAGATGCCGGATGAACCAGATTCAGGGATATGGAGTTCATTGCTCAGTTCCTGTAGGAATTATAGGGATTTGGATATTGGAGAGGAAGTTTCCAAAAAGTTATTAGAGTTGGAACCTCATAAAGCTGAGAATTATGTATTGCTATCAAATTTATATGCTGGATTAGGAAAATGGGATGAGGTGAGAAAGGTACGACAGAGGATGAAGGAGATTGGCCTTCATAAAGATGCAGGGTGCAGTTGGATTGAAATAGGAGGAAAGGTTTATAGATTTCTAGTCGGTGACAGGTCACTTTTGGAATTCAAAAAAATTCAGCAGACTTGGATTAAGTTGGAGAAAAAAATAAGTAAAATTGGATATAAACCAGACACAAGTTGCGTGCTTCATGATTTGGAAGAAGAGGATAAGATTAAGACACTGAGGAATCATAGCGAGAAGATTGCAATTTCTTTTGGTTTATTAAATACGACTAAAGGTACAACATTAAGGGTTTGCAAAAATCTTCGCATATGTGTAGACTGTCACAATGCGATGAAATTAGTATCGAAGGTTGTTGAAAGGGATATTCTTGTGAGGGACAACAAGCGCTTTCACCATTTTAAAAGTGGATTATGTATCTGTGGAGATTACTGGTAGTTAGGGACTCTTAGTTTATAGTGATTATATTGCATGATTGAAGGACTTCATTGAGGACCAATGGAGTTCTGGAGAACTGCTACTGCTTATATTCCACATTACTCAGTAGGTGCAGAGTCAATTCTATTCGAATTTCAGGTTTAGTCTACCCAAAGACAAGACAATCTCTGCATAATTTCTGACAAGAAATGAGCAATGCAGATTATATTCCTAGTCTCTGACTTGTAAAGTAATATTTTTCAATGTAAATGAAATATAATGTGAAATATATTTTGAAGAGGATTTCCTGGGATAAAAATTTAAACACAATTTCAAATGCAAAGACATAGCTTACTACAATTTAAAATCCGATATGGAGTACATTTTGTATTTGTAATAAAAGAGAAGTACATATTCGGAGGAAGGACGTGAAGTTAGAATGTTTCCTTTCGAAGTGACTAGACATTCAGGATCTGTTGCAAATTTTAGATACTTTGTAAAGATACAGTGGAATGGAACTAATCATACCAAAACAGATTTTATTCTCACATATGTTTATTTGGACAATTCAAACTAAGCCACTCCACAGGCAACACAACTCTTAAGGCTCTGGTATACCTAGAGGAGGGTCATTTTGAATACCCAGATATGCCATTGCCAAAATAGGAAAAAAATGATCTTAATTCTAACTACATCAGTTACAATAACAGTAAGGGCAACTGAAGGATTTTTGGGACTTAAAGCAAACTTAAAAATGATGTCCTTTATTTTTATTAATAAAATAATTTATTAAAATTATTATAATTTTATTTAAAATATATAAATATTATCTATAAAATTGTCATAATTAATTTTATTTAACATTTTCTTTTCAATAGATAACAAGGTCAATTTATTTAATCTTTGTTGAGACATTATTGATATTAGGTAAAATTTTATTGATTTTAACTTTGACAAACTGCTTTCAATTGAAATAATTAATATTGTAATTGTTAATATTATGCTATAAGTTATACATGCATTTAAAAAATAATTTATTGTGTGTGTGTTTCAAGGTGTTAAAATAATGAAAGATAGACTATACCTTAATGATCATACTTATATTGAAATAATGGAAAGTATACAAGCACTGAATTTAATTTATGTGCAAAAGTTTAATGTTTATAGATTGTTAACAAAATATATTAGGGTTTAGAATACATAATTACAAGGTCAAAATAAACTAAGTCCTAAGAGCAGTCTTTATCCATAGCCAAAACACTGAGGATCTAGCCCTAATCATTATCCTTGAACCAGACCTCTATCTCCGCTAGCTCCTCTGCAATCAAGTCCTCATTTTCTTCGAGGTCTCCAAAATCAGCCACAACCTTGGTACAAGTCTTTAGCTCTGATGAACGATAGATTTTCGTTTTGCAAAAAGATTTGTCGTCAACCTTCATCAAATATGCAAAAAAATTATGTAGTCTAGGATGCAAGCCTAGGTTGTCTCCAGACTTTGGTTTGTAACATACATTGAACATGTTGTAAACATTTACTATAAAAGCAATTAAAACAAGGGGGTTTTGTGTAATTCCAATTTTAATGTAAAGGCAAGTGATGAAATTAATGAATTCAATCAATGAAATGTGCAATCCTTAGCTTGTTCATGTAATTCTATCCCTATCCCTCTTAAGATTCAATACTTTTCCTCTTCCTCTGAATTAGGATAACTTGAAAAGCAAGAATTAACCTTAACATCCCATACAAATGAAGCAATTTACATGGGCTCCAATCTCTCATCCCCAAGATTACGTAACCTTAGAAATTAACTTAGGATTAAGCAAACTAAGTTACGAATTTCATTAAAACGAATTAGGGTTAATTAAGCAATGTCTCCCTCATTCAACCATTAATTCAATTCAAAGAGTTGGGAAATGTAAATTCATGAAGGAAAGGTAATTATATTGACATTCATACCTAGGAATTCAAGAATCCATGAACTCACTAAGGATTACAAGAAAGCTTAGCCCTCCATAAGGATGGGTCTTACAAATTCAAGATGAAAGAAAAAGAAATTCAATATCATCAATGCAAGAATTAAAGGAAAATGAAGAGAAATTGTAAATCAAACCCTAAGATTGGCCTTGGCTGTCACCCAAGGATCCTAAGCTCTGCAAAATGCTCCCAAAGTGGCAAAAGAATATAAAGTTATGTAAAAAAGCTCCGTACCCTAATTTCTCAAATCCTATTTATAGTGCAAAATTTTTGCCCAAAGTAACTACTATGGTTTCATAGTTGGGTCTCTCTGGAGTTGTCACTTTGGCTTCATAGTGATAATGTCACAACCCCTTTTTGTAAGGAACCGAGAACATTGTTTGTACATCACATACTTATTTAAGAAAAATAAATAATAGAGAATATAAGTATGAAATTCTCTTCTCAATTAAAATAAAACAAAGTTTCTTACAACAAATATCCAACAGAACAACATAATATTACATTTAGTTCATAATATTCAGAATACCCAAAATTATACTACGTAGCTCCCTCTACATGAGGTCTCAAAATATAGGGAAAAAGGACTTTGATGCAATATTACTCGACCCCAGCTTCAATCATTTCTTCACTGGCCCTCAGCCTGTGAAGTAGATGCAACACCTGCTACATCTGCTCACGTACCACCGTACGATCATCGCAGTACACACGCACACAACGACATAGAAAGAAATGCAAGGGTGAGCTTACCAAACTTAAAATAAAATCATATATATAGAGCAAAATATTTCTCACAGCAATAATCCCACGCATTTCCAGCCCATCTAATGCACAACATGAAAATGGTTTCCAACTGGTTTCACAGCCTAAGTAATCCAGAAGGAACCGAGCCGGTCCGGGAGTGACCCATTCCGGTATCTGGATCCAGACAGCACAGCACAGCAGCTCAGCATGAACTTACCGTTACATGTCTACCCACCTAAACATGTAACTCGGCTCTATAATGATGCAAAATATATATCTCAGCATGATGCACACTGCCAAAGTTATTTTAACAGCTCAACTAAAGCAAGTTTATAATAGATCAGCCAAAATCTCAGCATTTTAAATCAATTAACAGCAGTTACAGCTTAGAAAATAGCTTTTATTCGAAAGATCTAACAAAATCATATCAAAACATCTTGAAATAGCATATTAAACCGTTCAAAATGTAGTTCATAGGTTAAAGTAAACTCCCCTTACCTCAGAAAGATGATTCACACTAGATCTACCGAATATTACGTGTTTTAATGCAAGATTCACCGAAGATTCGGCTTTAGAACGAAGTTTCTCCTAAGAACACCATGAACTTCTATGAGAAAGAGAAGGAGAAGAGCAACGAACGGTAAATCTAACTTCAAACTTAAAGAAACTTACTTCAAATCCTTCAGAATAGACGTAGAATCTCAGATCTGGCGAAAAATTTAAGTTTAGGAAGGTTTAGTATGAGAGAAATGGTGGTTTTTGGCCTTAGAACCTTTGAGAACCTTGGATAGGGGTGAAGAAATGAAAATTTCGTGTGAAGCCCCCTTTTTATAGAAAATTTTCGAAAATTACTGTTCACTGCCGGAATTTACTGTTCATCGCTGGAAACACTGTTCACCGCCTTACTGTTGAGGGGACTATTCATGCCGGAAAATACTGTGCACGCGTACTGTACACGTATGTGACGTCATCCATGACATCATGATGATGTCACTGATGACGTCAACAGTCACTGTACATACACGGTTTGCACTGTTCATACACGGTTTGTACGCGGTTTGCACTGTTCATAGGCGGTTTTACTGTTCATCCGACACTGTTCACTTTTTTTTTTTTTTTTTAAATAATTTCAAACTCCATCTAAATCTATTCCAATACCAAATAATCCTTCAATTAACATTGAACAAGTATAAAATATTATAGATTACTCAATAATAAATCTCTAGCCTGACAGATAACGCGCAACGCTCCAGAGTGGTTACTCTCACTCCATAGTGTTTACACGCAGGTCCTGTGTTTTTGACCTCTCTGGAGTTGTCACTCTGGCATCAGAGTGATAACTTTGGCTGCTCCAGAGTGTCTACTATGGTTCCATAGTAGCTACGCGCAAGTCTTGTACTTTTTGGCCTCTTTGGAGTTGTCACTATGGGTTCATAGTGATCACTTTGGTCTGCCCTTCTGGATCTAACTTGCTGTAGTGTTCACTATGGACTCCAAAGTGATCACTTTCATCTCAAACTTTCTCAAATGCTAAAAATCCATGGAATAAGTCTAGAAACTCCTGCACAATTATTCAAATGATCAAAATTGCAAACTATATCTATGTAAATCAATGTAATTTAACCAAAAATTAAGAAACCTATGATAAATTGACCAAAATGATGTTTTTATGTTATTTACAATTCCTAAGTTTACTTTTTCTATTAAGAAACATTAAAATGACAAGTAAAAAACTAATAAAATGTGGATTCATCAAGCTCTCAGGTAAAGGTACGCAGTCTACCTATCTAGTCATAGTTATGGAAAGTATACACGTAGTTCACCACATTTAGCATTTAGATTGTTTCTCGATATATGTGCAAGCTAAGTGAATGATGAATCCTACCACTAGTTGGGTAATCAAAAGGGATACTATACCCTATATCCATCTCTAAGGTAAATATATCACCAAGTTCATTATTTACAATAAACTTATAGTAACAAAATCACTGTCACTCTCTAAATACATAATTAACTCTAATATCTACAAAACACTTTGACAGGCATCTATATGTTTGCTATCCTTGTTCCCTGAAAATATTTGTAAGGATGAGTTCTTTCCTCATCACTAAAAACATATAAACTTTTCAAATATTGCATTTTTGCAAAGTATCAAATATAATAATAACACATCAAAATGTCACCATACATATATTTTCATCACATGATCACTATTTCTCTCTCTCTCAATTAGCACCTTCACGTGCACTATGATCACAATTACTAGTTGCCTCTAACATTTTATGAGGTCTTACACAAATAGGTGAATAGTCACCAATTATGTAACACCTTAAATTTAATTTCTAAAATAAATGGATTTCTAATAAAAATTATTATTCAAATGGTTTCTGAAGCATAGTTCAACAAAGTATTTCAAAATGAGGGTGAGTCACAATTTGAATCAATAATTGCTACAGGACTCAATTAATACATTAATTTTTTAAAATAAATTCCTAAGTCCTATAGTAGTTTCATCCACCTCTTCATTAAACCCGGTGCTGATCGTCTTGGTCACCTGAAACATAAATGTAAGGGTGAGTACTCTACACTATCCAACATAGACATAACATAAGGACTCACCTTGTACACCCACATGTATTCTAACATATTCTACTCAAGTATAAGCAATCACAGGCAACACTTTCAAGCATTTCATTTCAATTCATAGCCGATGCACTCACGACACCAATACATTTTACACATACGTGCGCTCACTGCATAAAGCCACACTCACCGTGGCACTGTGATCATAGTTTCACACCATGGATAGTCGCTGGTTACCCTCGCATCACGGATACCACGTGTACGGTCATGAGTCGCTCGACAAAGGTGTTGGTCAAAGGTCTAGTGAGGAAGAGAGTGTGTGGCCTGTGGTGCACCCACACTCACTGTTGGTGTCAC